TATAGCGTAGCTATTCACTGCAACCTTCTCGCTCTCCACATCTCTCCTCTCTCGCTTCAATCTCTCTCTCTCTCTTCTCTCTCTCGTTCAACATCTCTCTCCTCTCTCTCTCTCTCTGTCTCTCTCGCTCTCCACATCTCTCTCTCTCTCTCTCTCTCTTCTCTCTCTCCTCTCTCTCTCTTCTCTCTATCTATCTTCGCTCTCCAATCTCTCTCCTCTCTCGTCTCTCTCTCTCTCTTCCTCTCTTTCTGCGCTTTCTTCTCTCTCTCTCTTTCGCTCTCTCCTCTTCTCTCTATTCTCTTTCTTTCTCTCTCTTCTCTCTCTCTCTCTCTCGCTCTCTCTCTCTCTCGCTTCCATTCTCTCTCTCTCTCTCTCCTTTCTGCTCTCCTCTCTCTCTCTCTCTCTCTCTCTCCTCTTCTTCTCTCTCTTTATCACCCCTCTCTCTTCATATCTTTCCCCTCCGCCCTTCTTTCTCTTGCACTCTGTCTCCTGTACTTTCTCTCGTTCGCTCTCTTGCTCTCTCTATCTGACCTCTTTATGTCGCTCCTCCTCTCTCTCTCTTCTCTCTCTCTCATGCTCTCATCTCTCTTCATCTCTCTCTTAACACACACACACTTCCACAACAACACACACACACACACACACACACACACACATACACACATCTCTGTCTCTCTCGCCCTCTCACTCTCGCATCTCTGTCTCTCCCGAGCAGAACAAAGCTAGAGTAGTCGATACTGAGCTAGGGTACAGGTAGCTCCAAGAAACGGTATTGCTAGGGTTAGAATACCCTATTGACGTTGTCACACAGTCCGGTGTATTGACGTTAGTCACACAGCCTGGTCGGGTTAGGGTACAGGTAGAAATTATTTCATAATAATCATATTATTATTAAATTATATAACATGAGGCATAACTATAATGTTTTTAATTATAATAATTATTTATTTCATGTGAAAAAGCGGCTACTCGGATGTGACCTTATGATCTAGTCATATACGATACGCAACGATAACTTTGGGGTTTTTTCAGATTTGTGTAATGCAGCTCTTCTTTCGGTAGCTATACTCCCACTGTAACCTCTTACTGTATAGTGTTTGTGCAACGACCATGGGATGTTTGACATTTGCGGTCACTAATTAGAGATGAGCCCCAGTAATCTTCCATGTCGTAGAGGTCATTGTGCAGGGTATTAGGGGGCTTATTGTGCAAGCTTATACAAGCCGTGGTACATTCTTGCAACTGGTCAAGCACATGCCAGAGCGCTGTAGGTGTGCCTGCCCTCACTGGAAACAGGGCACTGCATACAAATGTCCAGCAGAGCATATGTTCGTAAAAGTGAATTTAAACAAATAAAAGGCAGTACCCTCCTGCGCGTGAAGACAGAAATAACCCGCAATAAATACATATAGACCATAATGTAAACCCTTTGGTCAATGCTCCCGTTGCCGTATGATCGTGGGAAGGACCGGCGAGGCACATTTTACCATAGAGTTCCACCACTCCCCCGCCTTTTGGAATTGTGCAAGAAAACGTGTGCACATCTATTACTGTGCGTGGTCGTACTTTGATCGTGCCCCTTAGTCGAAAGAGACTAATAAAGTCATATACTGGATACGCGGATGCGGACATGCTAATCCACGCTAACGTGACATGTGTGTTACGCGCACGGTAGCGCCACGCGCCTATCTCTCCGGCAGCCCCCTGTTGGGGGGGCGAGGTATTCACGCATGCAGCTACTGCACACAGATAGATATTGGCCCGGCCATCTGGTAACGGGATCCGTGGACGTTGGTTGCGGTGTGGGTTTGGCCGTGCGAAGCAGCAACTCTGCCGCTGCTATTTGTGTGGTGAGTCGGCCGCCGAGTGGCAAGATGCTTCGTAAATTGATTGCCAGTTTCTTCCGCCCTTGGCCTCACTTCATCTACGCGTTTTACGACTTCAGGCGTATACGGAGTCGGTGCATTAGAAACCCGATGTGTTACAATATCTTCGCTTGCTCGAGGGCGTGAAGTAATACAGTGGAACAAGTACATATACGGAATAATAGCGGGAGATTTTAATTGTCGGTTTATAGAGGTGGGAAATATTTTTAGCTGTTCTGTAGCATATATAACGTATTTGGTTAATTCACGTGTAGATTCATACGCGTACAAGAAGAGTTTTCAAACCCCGAATTTTGTTTAAAGTGACGCCATCTTTGTGTGCATGGGGGAGACACGCAGTTCTCACGTCATTCGCCGTGTTTTTGCGGTGACTAACCTTGAATAAGTTTCTGGCTAAAAATGGACACGGTCGATACACGTATACGAATCATCAAGTGTTGAGACCGCCGAGACCAAGTGCTGCATCGGGAAAAAAACACATGTGCGAAGGAAGGCGGCGGGCGTACGGAGCCAGCCACGGGCGTTCGTGCCGTAATCTATTACTGGCAGGTTGTTTGACATCGCCATGGTTTCAGCTAGGCCAGCTGCATCCAGTGCGGGGCGCGGGTGCTGCTGGTTTTCAGTGACCCAAATGTGTTAGTCTGGATGGGCGTGGGGCTCAGGACGCCACCCAGCCTGACTCATGCATGCACTGCCTCCCGCCGTATCGGCTGCTCTGAGTAGCTCATGCACTACTCATCGTCGTGGGAAGAGAGCGACGACAAAAGACGATTGGCTTCGGATGCTTGCGTAAGGGGAAGGGGGGGGGGGAAGAGTTTTCAAAAATAACAAACTGATGAATGGATTTTCTACACGAAAAACCAACGTGTCTACAACTTGACGATGTCAGCCGGTCGAAATCAACGCGACGACGTTATTTTATAGCTTTGCAGCACGTTTTTTGACAAATATCCTCGTGCAACCGGCGGCGGGGTCATCTTTGGCAGATCCGTTTCGATACTTGCATGCAGTGGGGG